ATATGTGTCCCACACTGCTAAAAACACTATTAGGACACCTATATTTCACAAAAAAGTGTAAATTGGTTGTTTTTGCGTTATTTCAAGCAAATTCGTACTTCCTGTTTGAAACGAATTTTTGAAGCTGCGTCACGGTCATGACATAATAGCCTGTATTCCAGCGTGCAGACTGGGCGTCTGTGCCAGAGTGAGTCTTATTACGTCTTACAGTGTGATACATTAATGCATGAGTAAGGCTTGGTTCAAACCAATCAGTGCGCTCTATTGTGCAACTTCATTAATATTCATTTGTGTCACCGTGTTTACACCACAAAGACGCCACGTTGTGTTGGCAAAACAAGCGTGAAGTGTTGCTTTTATAGTTTGCTGCCGTTAAGTTTCGTTTTCATTTTCTCTCTGTGAGAGCTTATCTGGATCACGTGTGGATTAACAGTGTACGTGACGCTCGACAACAATAACTTACGTGTCTAAGGAGGTTTATTGTTTACCTGAGAGCTGTTCTCATCTGCAAACGCTGAAATCTGGATTTGCTTGTAGTATTCTCTCCATAAAGACGCGGCTCTAGTTGCTGGTGATTGTCCTGTCTCTACAGATTTGGTAAGTGAGCGACCAGTGCTCTTTGTTTATTCAGTTTGTTCGTATCGAATTAAGTTAACTATTGCACTGAGTGCAAACATAGCACCGCATTTAGTGACCGGAATAACACACGCGGCTTTCTGACACTACCTGCCGTGTGCATCTAAGTTTCCGGGAAATGCAGAGTTTTTTTTTCTCTCATTCGCAGTGCGGTATCAAACATAGCATGAAAAATACACGCTTAGAGCAGATCCTCGAATCAAATATCTCGTTTGTCGCGAGGGGCATGAATGAATTCCTTGAATGAAAGAGCCAAACTGCAGTTAAAGTCCACCATTTAATAATTTGGCAAATAATTCCACTACAGATGTCCATGTAGGTTAAACACCATCACTTTCTCCTGTCTGTGTGGGCGTGTATTTTGACTCTAAAACTCGCGCGTGCACAAATAGACACTCCCACACCATCCCACTTTAGTTCCTCCGACACTCCCCCCTAAACAGAGCTGGACACGCCCACTTTTCTGACTTTTTCCAAAGTAGAGGTGTGAAAACACCCTGCTGAAACGAGGGGGTTTCATGGCCCTTTAAAAATGATCTCCTCATTCACTTGTTCCAAACCTGTTTTTCTTTTTTTTTTAACGCAAAAGAAGACATTTAGAAGAAAACTGGACTCCTGCAACCATTGACATCCATAGAATGAAGAAAGCACTGCAGTGTTTGGGTGTTTGTCTGAAGTAATTAGTCTACTTCACGCTAGGCCCTGTTTGCACCAATATACGTTTTAATTTTAAAACACGGACATTTTGCTATGGTTACACCTTTTGTTCACACTACCCCAAAGTTTTAGAGCTAAAAAACAGAGCGTTTTGGAAACGCTGAAGAGGGCGTTTAGATTTTAAAATGAAGTGTGGATGCAGAATAACTGAGACATCTAAAAATGGAGGTGTGGCTGCAGACATTCGCCTATCTGATTGGGGATTTTTCTCAATATCAAGTGCACAAAGTTCAACCTTGCATGCTTTCCTTGTAAGTTCAGACTTTACAAGTTTAAGATGGAAAACAAACTCCAGAGGACACGTCGAGTAAATCTTCAAAGGGAACAGTGTAGGCTACTTTATAATGTCATTTACATCACCCTGGCCATGTTGTTTCCCTATGTTAACACAGGGCTCGAAATTGCGACCATTTTGGTCGCATATGCGCCCGAAATTTTATTTATGCGACCTCAAAATATATTCGGGAGCACTTTTGCGAGTGCTTAAAATTGTTGTGTGCGACCAGTTTTTACTGCAAAATGTTCACCACATGCGCGGATTCGGGAGACATTCACGCAGAATGCAGAAACGTTAAACGCAGCGCTCAGGAATGGTTTAAAACAGTTGTCATGTCAACTTGCTGCAGTAAAAGCCAAGTCCGTAATGCTTGCCCCGCCTTCGCGCTCTTCTTATTGGCCCACCACTGCTCTAGCACTGAACGTGAATGATTGGTTAATATCACCTGTCAATCACTCAGTGCCTTCTTGCTTGGGATGACAGAGAGAGCTACTACCGCGAAAAATTGTAAAGAAGATAACACTGACAGATTCTGCTTTAGAAACCATGACATCTACAGTTACAAATAATGACACATCTTAGTAGTGACCATGTGCTGAATGTTAATCCACCATCTACACTTTTCGAAGAGTGGATAAAAGACTTCCATTGGCTCCAAGTCCGATATGAAAAGTCTGTGGGATGGAATTTGCAAGTAACTGTTTGCCACATCTAGCACTAGAGCTTCTGTTTAATCCTTCATATAATTGCCAGATGCTGTCCGCCGTGCAAGCGGCAGCTGTATGTCAAATGTAACACCACGTTCACCATCGCAAAAGGACTTGCACTGAATAAACTAATATCGCAACTCTTAAAAAAAACGGTATGGCTATTAATATAGCGTATGCATATAATAAGGTACAGTATATATCAAAAGCATCAGTGCAATATCAGACAGCACCTGTGAGAACAGCACAGTTATACCGTTAACAGATTCATTCAAGCAGTGCGTGCAGGGCCGGTGAGCGGTCCGTGTATCTTTAGGCACTCTTTGCTCATATATATATATTTATTATTATTTTTTTTTACTGTATTTTTATACTGTTGATTTAAAATGCAATAAATCTGTTTGTATAAAACTTGTAGTAAGGGTGCTTATAATTGGTGGGTGCGACTAAGTTTTGGCTGATGCGCCTAAATTTTTAAAGTTAGGAGCACCGGTGCTACCAAGCAAAAAGGTTAATTTCAAACGCTGTAACAATAAAGAGAAAACATGATATAAGGAACTGCCTATTTTCATTTTGATATTAACAACTTAACAAAGATGTCAACAATGTGTCGTGTAGCTGCATATTTATATGACAACGATTTATTTATAACAACAAAGCTTATAACATAACTGGACCCTTTCTTTTTCAGTAAAAAATATGAAACACACCGTGTCTCCTGTGCTGAATATCAGTTTTAATAATCAATAATGGCTATTCTAAAAGTATAATGTACAATAAGTTTATACAATATAGGAAATAAAAGCAAGCAATCAGTCAAATATGCAGAATCAGTGTGCGTGGTTACATAAAATAATATATTAACTTATTTTCAGTCAAAACAAGTTACCTAAGAACAAGAAATGGATTCAAAAGAGTGAAGAGTTTTTAGATCTAGACAAGATGAATTAAAAATTACATCCAACAACTATAGTGAGATGAGATCCAGTGGTTTATCCATGAACAATTGTCCGACGTGCACCCGCTTACTGGCTGGAGCTCAGACACGCACATACGCTGCAGCACAGGCCAGAGTCGGTGTGTGTTCATGTGATGTGCATTTTCAGCAGTGTAGTGTGGACGGAGGTTTTTCAGAAATGATAGATGAAACGCCAGTGTGGATGTAAATCGTTTTCATTCTAAAATATCATTTTAAAACTAAAACGAATTAGTGTAAACAGGGCCTAAATGTATATATTGCATACAAAGTACAAAGCTAATTGGTCAGTTCTTGTCATGTGACTCGCAGTTTTCAACGCAGTGCGCCTCGGGTGCCAGTGCTTTTATTAAAAACACGGTTGAAATCACTCGCTCCTGTCCTCAATCTGGCAACCTGCGCTTCCGTTTGTTTTGATTTAGGAGTGCAATACCTAATTCAACCACTGGGTGTCAATCTTACATACTGCATCTTTAATGTTTTCCTTTTCATTCCCCCTCGACCATTAAACAAGTAACGAAGGGACATAACAACACTGGAGTATGGAGAAACACGTTGATTGATTTCTTTGTTTGTGTCGTCAATGGGGGAAAGCCCAACACATTGGTGACCATCTCACAAACAGCCCTGAGTGAGAAGCAGCCGTCTGCCAACCTCATTTGAATTTAAAGACGTTTCTGGAGACCGCAATTACCGTGGCTGGAGGTACGTACGGCCACGTTTAGTTTTCTTCGAGCGAATGCTGCGGTGTGGCGCCGCTCCACTCCTCCTCTTCGTGCTCGCCGGCTGACGGCTCGCCTCCGAGTGGAGGGCTTTCCCGCTGCTACCAGTTTGTCCGCTTAGCTCGCAGCGTTAGGTTGGCGGAGCGAAGGCCCGGAGGAGGAGGAGCCGACCGCGGGGACGACCAGGATCGGGTCCGGGGAAGAGCGGTTCCGGAAATCAGGTAAGATAAAAAACAGAATCCGAAAAATAAGGAAGAGAACACGGTGGGATACAAAAACGCGGTCGAAATCAAAGACGAGGGCCTTTTTCTTTTTTTTTCTGGACAGCTTTTGCAAACCATCGCTTGGGTTTAGGGAAGGAGGAGGAGGAGGGCGGCCCGCCCGGTCGATCGTTTAATCGTTCGACCAGCCAGTCGGACGGACGGTCGCTCCACAGCGGCCTCGGGCGGCTTTTTCGCACGAGAACAGCGCGGGCGCAAACGGCGCGTGCTCCCGAGAGGCGCTCGAGATGTGAAAAAGCGCGCACAACGGCCTCTCGCGGATCCGCGAAAACAAAAACCGCTCGAATACATACCTCCTGTGACGTATTTCGCGGTCCGCAGAAACGTCCGCGAGGCTACTTTTCCACAATGAGCCCGGGTTGGAATAAATATGTGTGTGGTATTTTGAGCTGAAACCTCACATACACATTGCAAAGACATCAGAGAGGTGTTGTTAGGTCCTTAAAAGTGTCAGCAACTTTTGTTTTACTTTAATTTCAACCAAATGACAACCAGGAACAAACAATCAGCCAACAAATCAATCCCTTAACTGTTTATCGACGTAGGACAGTTAATTAATGACAATTTTCATGCCCTTTTTGGCCAGTATTACTGATTCCATTAAATCTCCAGCACATGCTTTCAGAAATAACAGGATCCATCGCAAAAACGGCAATCAAAACTGATGAATCATGCATTGCTCACCTGAGTTGCACTGTTTTTGGTCCAGGGTAACAGACACTCAGACACTAGGGAGACAGCGGATGGCAGCAACTCTGGGAAGGGATCTGGGACGGGTCCCATTTGGGTTTCATCCACCTCCCTGACTTTTCTGAGGAGAAAGAAAATGTATTAAAACAATGGAATATTTGAAGAAGGCTTGAATGATGGGTAATAATAATATCTGGAGCTGAAAAAGACATCAAAAATATATCTGATTATTGAAAGTCTCCCAAAACCAAAGAGCTGGTGGTGGATTTCAGGAGGGAGAAGAGAGAACACACCCCCATCACCATCAACGGGACGCCAGTGGAAAGAGTCAGCGCTTTCAAGTTTCTTGGAGTTATTTGACATGGACTGCTCACACAGACGCAGAGCTGAGGAAGGCACAACAACGCCTCTTCTTCCTCAGGCGTCTCAGGAGGTTTGGAATGAGCCCCCACATCCTCCTCTTGTTCTACACCTGCACTGTGGGGAGCATCCTTTCTGGCTGTATCACCACCTGGTATGGAAATAGCACAAGCAGCAATCGCAAAGGCCTACATAGGATTGTGCGAACTGCTGGCCACATAGTAGGAGGTGAGCTTCCCTCCCTCCAGGACATCTACATCAGGCGGTGCATGAGGAAAGCCAAGAAAATCATCAGCGACTCCAGCCACCCAAGCCATAGTCTTTTCTCTCTGCTACCCTCAGGCAGACGGTTCCGCAGTATCCGATCACACACAAGCTGAATGAAGGAAAGCTTCTTCCCTCAGACTATCAGGCTGATGAACACCTAACACAGACTCTTCCATACCCCTCACTGCACACCATCAATATGTAGCATGAACTGCACTTAAACCAATCCATACTTGAAACAATACTTCCAACAACTATGGGTACAACTATTCATTGTACATATTGCTGTCAATGTTACATTGCACTGTCTGTATTTTTTTTGCAGTGTCTGTATTTTGCACTGTCTGTATTTTTTTGCACTGTCTGTATTATTTTGCACTGTCTGTATTTTTTTTGCAGTGTCTGTATTTTGCACTGTCTGTATTATTTTGCACTGTCTGTATTATTTTGCCCTGTCTGTATTTTGCACTGTATTATTTTGCACTGTCTGTATTTTGCACTGTCTGTATTTTTTGCACTGTCTGTATTATTTTGCACTGTCTGTATAATTTTGCACTGTCTGTATTATTTTGCACTGTCTGTATTTTTTTGCAGTGTCTGTATTTTGCACTGTCTGTATTATTTTGCACTGTCTGTATTTTGCACTGTCTGTATTATTTTGCACTGTCTGTATTTTGCACTGTCTGTATTTTTTTGCACTTTCTGTATTATTTTGCAATGTCTGTATTATTTTGCATTGTCTGTATTTTGCACTGTCTGTATTATTTTGCAGTGTCTGTATTTTGCACTGTCTGTATTTTTTTGCACTGTCTGTATTTTGCACTGTCTGTATTATTTTGCACTGTCTGTATTTTTTTGCACTGTCTGTATTTTGCACTGTCTGTATTTGTTTGCACTGTCTGTATTATTTTGCACTGTCTGTATTTTGCACTGTCTGTATTATTTTGCAGTGTCTGTATTATTTTGCACTGTCTGTATTATTTTGCACTGTCTGTATTTTGCACTGTCTGTATTATTTTGCACTGTCTGTATTATTTTGCAGTGTCTGTATTTTGCACTGTCTGTATTATTTTGCACTGTCTGTATTATTTTGCACTGTCTGTATTATTTTGCACTGTCTGTATTTTTTTGCACTGTCTGTATTTTTTTGCACTGTCTGTATTTTGCACTGTCTGTATTATTTTGCACTGTCTGTAATATTTTGCACTGTCTGCATTATTTTGCACTGTCTGTATTATTTTGCAGTGTCTGTATTTTGCACTGTCTGTATTTTTTTGCACTGTCTGTATTATTTTGCACTGTCTGTATTATTTTGCAGTGTCTGTATTTTGCACTGTCTGTATTATTTTGCAGTGTCTGTATTTTGCACTGTCTGTATTATTTTGCAGTGTCTGTATTTTGCACTGTCTGTATTATTTTGCAGTGTCTGTATTTTGCACTGTCTGTATTATTTTGCAGTGTCTGTATTTTGCACTGTCTGTATTATTTTGCACTGTCTGTATTTTGCACTGTCTGTATTATTTTGCAGTGTCTGTATTTTGCACTGTCTATATTATTTTGCACTGTCTGTATTTTGCACTGTCTGTTTTTGTTTGCACTGTCTGTATTTTGCACTGTTGTTTATGCACAGACACACACACATAAAGACACAGACACACACACACACACACACACACACTAAATGTATGTATGTTTTTGCTATCAGAAAGTGTTTATGTTTATGTAAGGAACAAGTTGCTAGGCGAAAAATGCATGCAAATTTAAGGTCACAGCGAAAAGTAGCAGACATGCAGTCATTTTGACTAAAATGATAATTGAAGGTAGAAATGCTCAGTTCTTTATTGTTTGTAAGTAAAAAATAACAATGTTAGAAAGAAATGCACAGATATTTAGAAATTGTCAGGGTGTTATAGATTCGTTATTAAATTACAAAAATTAAAAACTCTCTGTGTATCTATCCACTTAAACCTTGCAGATGAGCGAATGATCCGCTGAAGCTTCAGCAGACTGATGATGTTTTTAAACGCTCCCTTGAAAGCTTGAAACGATATGGTATATGCTGAGCTAGTGTTGATCCCATACTGATAAACTTCCTGTGATCTTTTATTGTGAGTTTTTTTTTTCCATTTTATACGGTTCCTTTTACAGCATCGATGTTGTAATGTGATTAAAATACAATCAGTTAAGTAGACTTTGGCATTCATTTAGTTGCTCAAGCGTAAAACAGCCAAACAGACAAACAGCCGTCTACCCGCACGCTCCTGTCAGAATCGGCAGGTTACAACAGAAGCTCTATTGAACATACTGGAGTAAAATAAATGCTCATATTATAAAGACATGGCGGGGGAAAAATCTAATTTAATGCAGTGCTTCTTGTACAATCTGAGACCCACTTTATATCAGATATTACTCAGTGGAGATCGCTGATTTTTAAAGAAAACAGACCATAAACGCTCCGATTTTGCATTAGCATTCAGTTCACCGGAAGCAGTTAACTTAAGTTACTGGCAAATTAAACATCCTATTAGTATGCTTCGGCATACTCCTCCCTCCAAATTTCATTGGCTGTGGTTTGGTAACTTGACTGAGCTGTTTGGGGATAAGTTGTTGACAGATCATGTACTGTGTGACCCCCCCACTTGTGGATCATTTACGTAGTTTCACGTAATGTGAACACCACAACGATTAATGCCGAGTTCAGACTGCATGATTTTTAAAGTATTCGTGTCACAGATGTTTTCACACTGCTTGACTATCTGCGCTAGCGTTTCGTCGCTGCTTTGTTTACACTGCAAGATGGATTAGCGACAGGGACTTTCACATTGCATGACTTTACTATTGGAAGAATCGCCGACAACTTCGTCCAAACTACCTCTCACAGCCAAAAACACATAGTATATCTTTTGTTATTAACTACATAATGAGAAAGAAGCCTTTAATGGGGTAGAAAATGTACATATTTGCTCACCTGGGTTTAAAGGGAATTAGCCATTTCTCCTCAACGTTGATAATAAACTAATTTCTTTCTGTATTAAACGTCAAACAGACACGGTTGCTCCTGAGTCCTGTCAAACCTCCACTAGTTTTTCCTCCATTTTGTGGGTCCAAATAAACCGAAAAAGAGCGCTTTTAACTTCTCCCCCAGCCTCCCGCTGGCCTGCAGCAGGTATACACACACGCACACACAAGTTAAAGCTGCTCTCTCATTGGCTGTAGGCGATCACTGATGTTATTTTCAGTCAAAACTCAATTCACACGGCATGATTTGAATCGCCGACAGCTCCAGATATTTAACACACCAAATATCTCGCAGGCATCGGCGACTCATCGGCGATTCTCTCAGATCGCATCTTTGATAGTTCATACTGTGTAATTGTCACTCATTTGCACGAGCACCGATTTGCCTGTGATTTCAGGCATTTGTCGGCGATTTCTCAAAACCTGTCGGCGAGCCAAAATTGGGGCTAAAATCATGAAGTCTGAACTAGTCATAAGACACAAAAATCAAGTCATGTAAAGGGAACGGCACAGCAATCTGCCAATGTTTAAAGCCATGAAGTGTAAACTAGGCCTAAACATAACTGAAAAACTGTTGCATTAGAAAAAAAAATATTATTATAATAAGATAACTAAAACTAGACTACCTGAAAAAATGACAATATACCCAAAAATGGAAATTTTCACATTGTAAAGTGGTTCCTAACTTTTATGAGTTTGTTTTTTTTAACACATATTTTATGTTGAGCAGAGTAAAGAGTAAACAGTGGCAGAATTTACCTTCATGGGTGAACTATACCTTTAAATTTCATTTTTGTGTCAAGTAATGAACTTTTCCTTTTGTTTTAGTCAACGACAGTAATCCTGAGTAAAATCCCAGAGTGCATCTGTAAAAACTCAAACTGGCCTCCTTTGGGGAAACTAGCAGCATCAAAATAGCACTTGTCATGCATGTGCATGGCCAATGATATTCAATAAAGCAGACTTTGTGCATTCTGGGCGCAGCAGACAGCAGCTGTGTGATGTCATATGATGCAAGTCTCTAGGCAACACACAGTCTTCTTCAGCCAGAGATGACCTCATCACTGGTACCTGAGTGATCCCGGAGGACCAGGCGGATGCTGTGTGTGTGTGTGTTTGTGTGTGTGTGTGTGTGTGTGTGTGTGTCTATGTGTGTGTGAGTGTGATCATCTGCTTATTTATAATCCGTTTAGAGACTTCTGTTGATGGGGAAATCTGACCAAACACACTTAGAATATGGACGGGTTGTGTTTCACTGCTTAAACTGAAAGAATGCTGTATGTTTAAAGAAAATTCAGGGATTTAAGATTATTTAGATTTCTGTCTAGTTTGTATTATACAAATGTATTTGGCCACACTTTATTTTGATGGTCCGTTTGTTGAATTTAAGCTACATTGCATCTACATGCCAACTCATTTTCATTAGATTATAAGTAGTAACTCAGAAAATGCAACAATGTATCATTTATTGCCATT